TTTTTTTTTTTGTGTCTGTCACTACTTTTTCTCAGCTCGCACTGGACCGATTTCTTTCAATAATACGTCAAAAGATCACAAATCGTATCTAGTTGAAGACATTACCCTTAAAATTTTCCCTCGTTCCCCGCAAATGGGGGAAATATCCAAAAAAATTATAATTTTAAAAATCAGTAAATTTTATCATTTTTTTCTTAAAACTTCCATAACTTTTTTAAAAATCAACAAATCAACATCATTTTTTTTTATACTAAAACCTTAGATATTTCCCTTTTATTTGATATCATTTTATTTGAAAATTTAACACTTATTCTGTTCACAAGGGGTATTTAAAATAGCAACTTTTTTTACAAAAACTAACTTTTTCAACTTAATTTTTGAAAATGTTCCGGAAATACTGCGTCCTTTAAACATATATCAAATTAAAGCTTTTTTTATGTACTATAAAATGAAAAAAAAAAATTTGTCCCGACACCTTATCTTCTATGTGCAAATGGCTGTCGAAATTATAAAAAAAATGTAATATTTGCGATAAAAATCACCTTTTATAACGATGTTTTTTGTACTTAAAACTGCCATAACTTTTTCAAATATTAACTAATCAAAATAATATTTCTTTATATTGAAACCTTAGGTAATTTTCTTTCATTTGATATCATTTTTTTTTGAAAATCTAACACTTATTCTGCTCACAGGGGGGATTTAAAATAGCAACTTTTTTACAAAAACTAACTTTTTCAACTTAATTTTTGAAAATGTTCCGGAAATACTGCGTCCTTTAAACATATATCAAATTAAAGCTTATTTTATGTACTATAAAATGAAAAAAAAATTTGTCCCGACGACCTATTTTCTATGCGCAAATGGCTACCGTATTCAAAAATATGCTATTTTTCTATTAAAATTCTAGGTTTTGTATTTTATTTTATTTAAAAATATCTTATTAGGAAAATATATTGACTTTCATGAATATTATATAATTTAATTGACATAAAATAAAGTTCATAAAACATAAGAAATTAAACTTATTAAGATATTTTTACTATTTTAAAGTCGAAAAAGTAATTTTTAAATTTGAGTTGGCTTAAATGGGAAAGTACCTTTGCCACTAACTGATAATGCTCCGACATTTACATACTTTGACATTTGACAAAGTAGTAATTGTTACGAACATCTGGTACTCCGACCATCTGATACCATAGGTTACCAAAATTACGACGGATTTTACTCCGACATTAAATTTAAAAAATGAGACAGTAAAAACTCCGACATTATCGATAGTTTGATTATGCATCGAAAGTTATATTATATTTCGATTGTATTATTAGTAATAGGGCGCTTCGATCGTATATATTGCAACGTAGGGTTGATGTGTTCGGGGTAGTAAATATAATAATAATGACAACAATAATAACAATAATAATAAGTAGTAAACCAATAGCGTTTTTTATTAGTCACTACAACAATAATCTTAATTATACAATAATTAAATAAAGTTATCTTTTGTTCCTCATAAAAGGTCAACGTGACAGATTGAAAAAACGAATGAATATTGTCCAGCACCGAGCGACCGGTTCTCACCGCCCGTCGGTCACCGCAAATAGCGCGACCTGTCGGACGTGAAGAGGAAGCGCCGCGATCGCCATCCGGTGATAACACCGGAAATGAGAAGCGACCGCGACAGGGTCATGTGCAGTGGCACAACTAGAGTTCAAATCTTGGGGGTGCTACAATTACAAATCACATACACATTACATATTTACTAATTATTTACAGTAATTACTAATTAGTATTAGTTATGTAATATATAATTATAAAATATAATAAAGATTTTGTTACTTACAGTCCTTATAACAATTTCAATTGGTACATACAAATAATTTATTTACAATTGTTGTTTGAAGTATTAAGTATATTTTTGTGTTCAATTGTGCGTCGTGGTAATCTTCGTTGGTTTGCTATATGCAAGTATAAGTAGTTTAATAATTACGTCTTTTCGTATATTAAGTCGTACTATCTTTTTTATAATTTGTTTTTTGATAATATTGCTACTATCAGCATACGCTTTAAAACATTAGCTAGTTTCTTCTTCCACTTGTTAGAGACTAACCTCTAGTGGCTTACTTTGAAGAATTTAACCCCGAGTACTTTTTCTAATATGTCTTCTCCTGGTGCAACCAATGTAACTTCAAAAAAAGTTGCTGTCCGTTCTGGTGTTAGTACGAGATCTTCAAGTACTACTTCCAATGAAGATTTAATGCAAATTATTTTGTTCTTCAAAGCTGAAGTCCTCGCTTCCAATAAAGCACTTTCTGACTCTCAATCTTTGCAGTTCAATACACTTAAAGCAGAAATATTAAAAGTTTCTGAGCAAGTGAGTGAACTCAAAGCAGATAATATAATACTCAAAAGAGATATTGGTTCACTTAAGGCAAAAATTAGTAGTCTTGAAGAGAACAACTCGTTTGCTAACCCATCCACAATCACTAGCCAGGTTTTG